AAACCAAACCTTTAAATTCAATTTATATCTGGTTCAATTCCATTGATTAAATGGACATTAAACATGGTTTTTTTAAATAACAAACTGTACAAAAGGGTATTTTCATTAAATTTTATAGTGATGATGTGGTGGGGTCTTCACGATATTCTTATAAGCTCAACCTCGGATATCCTTCATCTGATATCAAATTCCTCGATTAGATGTCCTCTTGCTTATTCCAAGAGAGGACAAGTTGTTTTTTTCGGTGCTTGCTTATGAGGTATGGCAAGTAGGGTTCACAAAATGTGGACCACGGGGCCATGAGGTCCCTTCCAATAAACCCTTTTTTGCGGATTTTTGGACTCGGGTTTTTTGGTGCGGGATTTAGACCATTTGGAATTTTTTGGAACCAGACGCTATATTGTAGGAAACCTCCTCCAGACCGGGGTTCTTTTCCGACATTCAACTGATTTCATTTCGCTAGGTTCCGGTTCGTGCTAAGGGTTTTAACTATTCTAGGATAGATTGGTTTTGCAACCTGGGAGATTAGCTGGGTTCGTTTTTTGTTGCTTGTGGTTTAGTTTTCTTTTTATTAGTCGTTATGTTCTGTTTGTTTTTTTTTTCTTCTGCTCTTGATTTTTTTGCAGTAGTAGTCCGTGTTGTTCTCTATTTTTTACTATATTTGTTGTCTTCCAAAAAATAGTAAACATAGTTACACGTTGAATTAGGGGTGCTCAAAGACCCGATCAACTTAACGCGAAATAACTCAACCTGAAGTAATCCGATGTCTAGTCGAGTTGTAAAAATTTCAAACCGTAGGTATTGAGTTGATATTCGATTACTATTATTTGAACTCAACCCAACCCGATGAATCCGAAATCATTTTATTTATTGGATTTAATATGTCTGTTGAATTTATATTAATATATATACATTAGACAATTACACTATCACGTACGTTCTTCATATATACATATTTTCAATCCATTCTCCATCTCTATATAACCATTCGTGTATATGTTCAGTAACTGTGACCATATATATGTAAATTGAGAAAATTAATTGAATATGATATATATAAGAAATATGAATAAGTTGTATCAAATGATTGATTATGAAAAAATTATGATTAGAGAAACAACATATTTAAGATTAGAATAATATTTTAATGTATCAAAGTATCAACATAACCAACCCGACTAACCGATCAACCCGTACAGTTTGGATTGGGTTGGGTTGCACTTTAGTTTAGGTTAAAAAAATTCAATCCACAAGTATTGAATTAAGTTGTTCAAATATCTTCAACTCAATCAACTCAATTCATGAACACCCCTTAGATGGAATGGTTTATAATTTGAGAAATGTCCATATGACTTGGCATCTAGGTTTTAAACTTGTCGTGTTTCTAAAAAATATATATTTAAAAAAGACAAAGACTATAAACTTTTAAAGCTTTAAAATATATTTTTAATAAAAACTAATATTAAAAACATAATATTATTTAAAATATATTTTTATTTTTTGCTGTTAATTTTTTTTATGATTTATGAAAAAACATACATTATTTAATTAATTAATAAAATCTTGGAGGTATATATAATGATGAACGACAGCTGGTTGGGAGTCGGTTGGTCACTTGGGCTCTCCTATTTAATTTCTATTAAAGACGTCTACCAACAAAATTAAATAAAAAATAAAATATGTATTAAAACGGCAAAATATTTTATTATATATATATATTTTAATAAAAAAATTAATTACTAAAATCATATTATTTATCTCATTTATATTGTGAAAATTCCACTTTAGATCATCAATTGTAATAGTTAAGAAGAGTTATATCTTATTTTAATGTATATAACGATAGACTTGAATACTGTAAATTTTATTAAATATTTTATGTTTATGTATGATAGAATTACTTTTGTAACCATTATATCTGATGTATGTAGGGGTGCTCATGGGTTGGGTTGATCGGGTTGAGGACATTTTAACAACTCAACCCAATGCTTGCGGTTTGGAAAAATCTTAACCCAACCCAACCCAAACCAAAGTGCAACCCAACCCGTACGGGTTGGTCGGGTTGATACTTTGGTATATTAAAATATTCTTCTAACCTTGAATATGTTATTTCTTTACTCATAATTTCTTTTTCATCATCAACCATTTGATACAACTTATTTATATTTCTTACGTATATCACATTAAGTTAATTTTCTCAATTTACATATATATGTTCACAGTTACTGAATGAGTTATATAGAGATATGAATAGATTGAAAATATGTGTATATGAAAARCATACATGATAGTGTAATTGTCTAATGTATATATTAATAGAAATTCAACAATCATATTAAATCCAAGAAATAAAAGGATATCGGGGTCATCGGGTTCATCTGGTTGGGTTGAGTTCAAATAATAGTAACTCAATATCAACCCAATACCTACGGTTTGACAATTTTACAACTCGATTAGACATCGGGTTGTTTCGGGTTGGGTTATTTCGCATTGGGTTGGGTTGGGTTGATCGGGTTGGTCGGGTTAGTCGGGTTTTTGAGCACCCCTAGATGTATGGTTTTAAACGATTATTGTCTTCAGTAAGATTTCAAAAGATTAAATTGATAACTATAAGGATGGTGTCTGATTGGTTTGAGCTTGAGATCCAAATGTCAAAATTGTCTAGAGGTCACAGGTTCAAATCTAATGAGGAATAAAAATCCCCTTGTGACCACACTGGTTCAAATGTGATGACTTCGGACTACCCGCAAAGCAGGTGGTCGTCCTGGAATTAGTAGACTCGCATAACTGTATCAAACCAAACCAATCCAATCCAAAATTTTCAAAATTATTGTTATTTCTTACTAGGCATGGCAATGGGGAGGGGATGAGGCAGGTTTGTAATCCCCGACCTAGTCCCCGGCGGTTACGGGGATTAATATCCCGTCCCCGGTCAAACACCATGAAGAATATTTGTTAGTTTGAGTCTATCGGGAATCCCCGACCTAGTCCCCAGCGGTTACGGGGATTAATATCCCGTCCCCGGTCAAACCCCATGAAGAATATTTGTTAGTTTGAGTCTATCGGGAATCCACGACCCCAACCCCAGTTTGAGTAACAATCCTCGGCCCCAGCCTCGGTTTGAGTCTACCGGGGATTCCCAGCTTCGGGACCTGTTTTAGTGGGGACTCCCCGTTCCCGTTTGGGTCGGGTGAGCCGGGTTCCCCATCGAGTCGGGGGAAATCACCATTCTTATTCCTTACCCCTCAATACCCCCAACCAAACGTCTCATAATACGGTATATTATTTACAAAATCATTGTGGTTTCTTATGATGTTTAACTATCACAATACAATATTTAATATAAATTTTAGGTTTATAAGAACGTTAATTGTACGTCTTATATGAAGAAGTTATTTATGACATAAAAAGACTCATAATAAATCGTATTATGGATATCTAACCCGCTATGCGAGCCAACTAATCCCTAGGAGACCATCTGCTTTGCAAATAGCCCGGAGTCACCGCATTTGAACCTCCATGGCCACAAGGGGATTTTTATTCCTCGTTGGATTTGAACATAAGATCTCCTGGTACTTTTGACATTTGAAGCCAAACTCAAACCAATCAGGCACCACTCTTGTGGTTTAATCCATCTATATTGTTATCTAAAATAGAGAAAACTTTAAGTTTAAAGAATTATTTAAAACTTTGAGCAGGTGAAAAAGAAATTAGTTTGTTATTCATCCTACAAATGAGATTGAATTGTTAACCATAGTCCACAAGGCTGACGCATGATTGGTTTAAGTTTGGGCTTTAAAGGTCAAAAGTATCTGGAGGTTACTTGTTCAAATCCAAGCAGGAATAAAAATCTCTTTGTCACCATGGAAGTTCAAATGCGGCGACTTCTGGGCTACCCGTAAAACAGGTGGTTGCCGTGTGATAAGTCGGCTCGCATAGAGGGTTGGATATCCAGGTTAATAAAAAAATGAGATTGAATTGTTATCGTTCTATATAATTTTTTTTTAAAAAAAAAATGTGTTGGAAGAGATATCTATAAAATATTATAATAATATAATAAATGATGAAATCTTAAATATAAATAATCTGTTGTAATAAAATATAACTTATTTTAGAAGTTTTGACTCTTAATTTTATATTTAAAAAAATTTATAAATATTTATTCTTATCTATATTGTATTATAATTTTTTTTGACAAAAACCCTTAAAAACCATTTTTTATGCATAAAGTACTGTTTATTGATGCATATTACTTAAAATTCAATATTATAAGTAAATTGTGCATAAATACAACTTATTAAAGTTTTATGTTTGAATTCATATAACTAACTACGGATAAATATAATCAAATAGAGGATAAACATCTTATTTTAAAATATAAAAAATCTAAAATATAATTAGGATGATTATTGAGTTCGAACAAAATATTTAATTATTATCTTTATAAAAATATATATTATTAAACCTAAATTAAGTTATTTCGTTACGTTAAATTAAATTATAATAAAAAAATTGAATTAAAAAAATAAACAACCAAAAACTTTTAAATAGTTAATTTGATATTAATATTGATATAATTTTTATAAATTTTATATGATATTTGTAAATTTATATTTTATTTCAAAATAAAAATATTATCGTTTTTTCAAAATCACATAAAATCGTATAATATCGACATGAATAAAAAATAAAACATAACATTAAAATAAAAATATGCCTTAATGCATTACATGATTACCCTTCTGGTTTATCATTAAGAATGTGTGGACTTTATTACAATTCATTTATCATAGCAATTCCTAATAAATGCAATTAAAATTTTATTTAAAATATATTAATAAATAATCGAATATTTCTTATGACTCGTATTTTAATTAAAATAAATATCATGCGAAGAAAAAAAAATAGGTGGTCAAATATGACCGGTGGCGCCGGTCAACGGTTGATAAACCACTCTTCTTCCTTGAAGACGGTTTCTTCTTCATTTCTGCATTTTTCTTCATCTCTTTCTCTCCATCTCTCTCTCTCTCTCTGCCCTCCTTGAGTTTGAGTTTGAGTTCGAGTTCGAGTTTGAATTCTCAGAGAATCGACGAACTCGAGAGGTGTAGTATCGGTTTCATTTTACTAAATTAAGATCTCAAACTCAAAGTCGCATTTCGTGCTTTCTAATCGCTGAAGAATTGTTCTCCTCTGTCATTTTTGGGTCTGATTTTTGATAGCTTCATTCTGAATAGATATGGCGGTAAGTTTATCTCCTTACACCTGAATTTATTCTTGTTTTAATCTCTATCTCTCTCTTTTTGTCGTATTAATTGCGTTTTTCGGTTGAATATCGAGTTAATTTTTCAATTGGTTTTTGTTTGTTGACCTGATTATGATGTTTACATCCTCGAATAATTGTAGAATAAGGTATTGAGAGAAGTAATTGGAAATAGCTGCAATGTGTAATTCTACACATCGGCCGACATAATTTATCAAAACCAGATTCTTTTTTTTTGGTTCTTAAATCCTTATAATAATCGTGAATTTGGTACCTCCTCCTGCTATAATGATGGAACGATTTTTGGTTTTGATATCCAATTTGAACATTTGAAATCAAGAGTTGACTTTACTTTTGGGATGGAGGTACTGCTAAAGTTGTTGGAGAAATTTATGTTGATATTATTGTTTGAATCCAATCGGTGAAGGGCCTGTGATTTGTTTGAGAATTAATTTGAAATACTACTTAGATACTTGTTTGTATTGATGATTGAATAGCCCGCCATTGATGCTTTCTGAAGATATTGTTGATGGGGTTGACTTTCGTTGACAACAGTACTTTATAAGACATATATCATGATCGAACTACAATGCAATTTATAGGAACAGAAGATGTACAATTTGAACATATTTGAAGCAAGAATTGAGGTTTTTTTGGCATTCAATAGATTCAAACTTCACTGGAGCTCTGATCTTGTTGGTCTTTTGGCTGATTTGTGCACTCATCCTACCATTCCCTATGGTGGGATATATTGTTTAGTTTAGTTTGATATATTAATTGACTCTAATGGGATATATTGGATTTGTCTAATTGTTCGTTTTGGTTATATAGTAATTGACTCTGGGTGAGATATGTTGGGTTCGTTCAATTGTCCATTTTGGTTATATTAATTTGACTCTCGACGGGACATTCGTTCAATTGTTTGTTTGGGTAGGATAATACTGGGCTCGTTTGGTTTGGTTTGGTTGTATTAACCGATGTTAAATCTTGCACCAGCGTCCAAATGTACCCAAATTCGGCAACTGGGAAAGCGAAGATAACGTGCCTTACACGGTTTATTTTGACAATGCTCGGAAGGGTAAAACCGGTGGAAAGATGATCAATCCAAATGACCCAGAAGAGAATCCCGAAATGTTTGCTGATAAAACACCTCCGGCTCCAACTCTTCGCTCCAGAAACCACACCCAACCGGAAGAACCGGTCGGCAGGCGGGCAGTTCGGCCCACTCAAGATAATAGGGTGAGCAGGGAAGATAACGAGTATCCTGCCCCTAATGAGAACACGGGCCGGCGGACTTCTGGCAGCTCCGCCAATCAACGTGGTGGTCAAGGGACGGGTGCAGGTCGTCCGGTGAAGCATAGTGCTGGATCCGATCAAAGCTTTGACCGATCACCGATGCATCCCCATTATCAGGCAAAGGCCGCCAATAAGGGTAGCGGATCTCCGGCTTGGGAAGGAAAGAATTCTTATGATAGTAGCCATGGAACTCCTACACGGTCGAGAATGAAGCCGACTCGAGGCGACGAATCCGTAAGCTTTCTGAAACATCCTGCCTCTGTAAAATCTTGAAAAAAACACTAGAAGGTTAGTTCGTAAAATTGACTTCCATATATCTGCCTTTTCATTTTGCTTCGGGTAAGATGCATCAAAATACGACGAAAGTTGCCTTGGTTCTTTTACAGTGCAACAGTTTTTTTCTAAATCAATGTAACAAAGTTTTAGAATTTCCCATTTAATGTAGTATGGTTCCAAAATTTCAGATTTCTTTTAACCATTTTGACCGATGCACATCTGATGACGTGGATGTGAAGTTTATCGTCTACTTCGTTGTAAACCATTCGTTAACGGATATCTACGTTATCAAATATTGCAAGTTTAGCGAATTCTCAGTCAAAATAAGTACAAACTAGAAAATTTTAGAACTTTGTTTCATCAAGTGATAAAAAATAACCGGACTTTGTTAATTAATTTTGCTTATTTGCTTTTTACGGAAAAGACGCACAAAATTAATAGGTGGATCAATTTTTAAAGGCCAGCACCCAACGTTAACATATGTACAACACATTTTGACATGATATAACTATTTCATGGGAAATTGATAATAATAGTCGAACTTTTCACTTTTTAGCCATTCTCTCACTGAAATTCACTTTTTTACCGATCATTATCCAGGCTTATGCATATGTATAAGGATTGGTTTTCGGCAACAAAAAAAAAGAATCCTTACGCAGAAAGTGGTTTTCTGCTTAAGGATTCCACTTTCTACGTAAAGATTATTGTTTTGCTGAAAACCAATTATTGCGTATATGCGTAGGCCTTTTGAGTAAGGATTAGCTAAAAAGTGAAACCACTTGGCGTTATTTATGTAAATTTCTCCTATTGCATGCAAGATTTGAGTTGTTGGAGACTTGACAAGTTGACACTATGGGACAATTTGTATCTGTTTGGTCCTGTCAACACTCTACACTCTGGTACAATTTATTCCCATTTGGCCTACGTTTGAGGGGAGTATTTGAGTACCACATCGATTAGACATGGACTATTTATCTTGTGTATATGTTGGTACCCATCCACCTTCTCTTCTAGGGATATTTCAGAGAGTAATCTAACAGGGTTACCACATATTGTCACATGAGTGACCACTTATCTCAATTTTCTTCCATTACCTGATGCCGACACCTTCTAATTCATCCTCAGCCCGATAGAGGAGCTGCCGTTCCGAGATTCGGCGAGTGGGATGAGAACAACCCTTCATCGGGTGACAACTATACTCACATCTTCAACAAAGTACGCGAGGAACGTGTAACCGGATCACCCATGGTGTCTGGTTCCGATGCACGACCAAATTACAACATTCCACGTAACCAGAAAACTGATAGCAAGGTATGATCACTTTTTTATCTTCTTTGGCTTCTTTCTTTCATATGTTTGGTGTTTTTTTTTTTTATCTGGTAACCTGGGTGTCTGTGCCAGTTTGGGCACACCTTGACCTGAGACGGATCCATAAATTTTTATGAGTGGTATCACAAAATAAATACCATCAAGAAAGTTTTATTTGAATTTTTCATATAACCACCAAAGTTTTTATGTTTATGGATTAACCCAAAAAAACCCATGGTCACTCATTTTAGGTCCTAAAAGATTTTACATTTACCTTTACCTCGACCAATCTTAAGTGACTTGGATGGGAAACCAAGCCCCGAATTTTGGGTTTCAGGTTGTTTTGGTGTGGTAGGGTTCGGGTATAGTTATAATGCAAATATATATATATATATATGTGTGTGTGTGTGTGTGTGTTTGTGTGTATATATATATATATATTCGATTTTGAGGATGAATTCAATCAATTTAGAGGATTAATAAAATCGATGGTAGGTTTAAGATTTTCGAAAAGATAATTAAATAAATAAATATATTTATATAATATTTAAAATATATATATGTGTGTGTGTGTGTGTATATATATATATATATATATTGGGTTTTCAGATGGATCGGGTGGCCACAAATCAAATCCAACCTGAACCTAAATATCTCCAAAAGTCAGTTCGGATTTTAGGGAATTTGGGTTTTCACAAACACCTTATTTTCAGTCCGGATTTGGATTTTGGGACCATCCGGATTTTGCATACTCCTAGATAATAATATGGAACTAATCTTATGAAACCCTAAACATAATAGTCTGGAACTAATCTCATGGCACCTGAAGATATATTTTGCTACTTTGCTTATTTGTAATGCAATATATGATTTACTTTGTAACAGTGCTGCTGCTTCCCATGGTCCAAGTAAATCAAGATTTTGGAAGTTTTGTGAATAGAGGGCTCTGCATATTCAGAGTTGGCTTCATTTGTCATACATTACTCTGGATTCCTTCTTTGCATATGTGTAAGTGTGTGTTTTTTTTGCTTTTGTGGGTGCAATTGGGTTTATATCATGAGGATTTGATGATTGACTTTAACTATATATAATTATATATGGTTGTATAAAAGCTAGTAGATATCAATTATATTATTTTTTTATCAAATTAGTCAACATAAATAGTTGTTTTGTTGGGGTTAAATGAATTTGGTTGGTTTGAAGGTGTTTGACCAACCCAACCAAACCTAACAAGTAGAGGTTGAAAGATCTCAACTCCTTAAAGAAGGAGCAGGTTAAATGCACATCTATCTATTAATCTTCTTCTTACACGTATCAACATCGTAACTTACTTTTTACATTTTTAATGTATGATTTAATCTGATTATGACTTTAATAAGGGTACATATAGCAATCAACATTTTCAGCCAACGCGATGCTTCTTGGTCGAATGACCAGGATATTGGCAAATACCACATAGACATAACAAATTAACCACCACCTTAATGGAACTTCAAGGGTATTTTTGTTAATGATTCTTTGGTATAAGAGCTTTAAGAGAGTTTTATACAAAAACCGATTTTGTTCTCCAAAACTTGTCCATCCGAATCAAAAAACCTTGCTTCTTCCACCTAGGGATGAGATTGGTACCGAACTGGTTGGTACTGGAATTTAATGGGACTGAAAACAAGGACCAAAAACTGAACCGTATGTACAAATTCTGTATTGGTTTTGGTTCGGGAAATTAGGGACTAGGACCACTTAGGACCGAAAATTGAAAGTGGGTTAAGAAACAATCAAAACCAATCGCAAAAGTTCAACAATCAAAGGGAATGGGAGCCGATCTTTTGAGGTTCTCGAAACTGTATATGACCAAAGGGAACATGAGCCGATTATTTGATTGATGGTGATTAGGGCCGATTTTTTAATCAAGGAAATAGTTACGGAGAAGGTTTAGAAGAAGATATGGATTAAAATTAAGAGAAATTATAGTTAGTTTATGAGAAGATATGGATTAGTTTAGGAAAATATAGAGATGGAATTGGAATATTCAAGGTCCATTAAAATTTCGATTCGGTTCCAAGTTTTTTCGGGAAAAGTGTTGGTACCGAAACCGAATAACCGATTCCCGATTTCGTTGTATTCTTGGAACCTGTAACCGATAACCATGGTTTTTAGAGCCAGCTAGCCATGCACAACTAATCACCGAACAACCATGAATGACTTGAATCATCGCAGGTGAACCTCCATAGCCACAAGCCGATAAGGGCTTTGCTAGTGTCTAGTTTCAAACCTTGACTAGATGAGATTTTCCATTGCATCTCTCGGAAACTTAACCAGTGCGCCACAATCCAAGTAGTTAAACGTTGCTAACTGATAAAAAAGTAAAACATATTTAAGATGTTCTGAAAAAATGTCACATTTTCTTGTAATAGCTCGAAATGAAAAATAATTTCCTACTTCGTCACAAATTATCAATATAATATATAGGGTAAATTTCATGAAAAAAGTAACATATTTTATCTTGATTTATGTTTTGGGTAACGTACTTCCAAAACTTCTATTTTGGTACCTAAGATGTAAAATTTTAAACACTTAAGTACCCTGGTAACAGTTTGAAACATTAACGAGTTATCATGCTGATGTGACAAGTGATATGATATCCAACTCAATATTATTTGCTGATGTGATTAGTGACATTTCTTCTTTTTCTGATTATCTATTTATACTATACCGGATTAAATTAATAAATTATAAAATGACCAATTGGGTAGATCAAGAAAACATCAGTCGCAGTTGCAACAGGAGCTGAATATGCAACAACAATCCAATTATTTTTTAATCTAAAATTAGTTTTCAACCAGTTACCAGAGTACTTAAATGTTTAAATTTTTTACATCTTATGTGTCAAAATATAAGTTTTAAAAGTACGTTACCCAGAATATGAATCAAGTTATAGTACGTTACTTTTTCATACAATTTACCCTAATATCTAACATGTTTATATTTTCCTATTAACTTTAAATAAGGGGCTGTTTGGCAGTTGCTGAATGATTTAGTGCAGAATAGTTAAGAGGTCAGAATGGTTAAGAGGGTCAGAATGGTTAAGTGCTGAATAAAATAATGTTGTTTGGTAACTGTTTTCTGAATGACAATAAATTACCATTTTAACCCTCATCAAACAAAAACCCATTAATCCAAACCAACAGATATGCTTTTCCTTTAACTTCAAGTGATGGGTTCGATTCAGGTGATGGGTTCGATTTCAAACAACCAGGTATGCTTTTCCTTTAACTTCCCACTCCATCAAAGGGTCTTGACACGAACAGGGATGGTAGAGTTTGATTTAGGTTTTTGGGTTGGGTTTGATTCGCATACTCTTAACTAACTGAGGTCGTCGGCGATGGAGACGATGGAGGTCGCCGACGATGGAGACGATGGAGGTCGCCGACGATGGAGACAATGGAGGTCACCGGCGAAAACCGGCCGACGTGGGGAAGGGGACGAAGGCGACGGGTTCAAGAGATCCAGAGATGGTGAAGACGATGACGGTCAAAACAGAGAGATCGTAGATAGGGGCTGTTTGTCGGYCGGTTGTCGTCGGTGACGGAAAATGGCAACGAACAAGGGAGTGGAGACGGCAGTGGGTAGAGAGAGTACGAGGCGGCAGCGATCGTAGGTCTGGAGGAGGGGCTGTGAGCGATGTGTGAGGATGATGGAAGAGAGGGCAAATATGGAAAAGGAGAAGTCTGAATGGTTGAGAGACCCCTTAGATGCAAAATGGTTAAGAGGGAAAATGTAACCATTCAGAGCCTTATTTTTTTTGCCAAACACTCCTCACCTCTTAGCGATTAAGAGGTTGGCTCTTAATGTCACCATTAAGAGCCAAACAAACAGCCCCTAATACTCTGTATAATCATCTTGTATTTGTATTTCATGGTCAATTTATGTAACATTTAGAAAACCCATCCATACTTCCGGTTGCAGGCTGCAACTCACATGAAACTAATTATGCTGGTTTATCACTCGTCGATAATTGAATTTAATGTTTCTCATTATATATATATATATATATATATATAATAAGACGAAAAGAAAGCTCAATCGTTTATTGTTCATAATATAATCGTTAACCTTTCAACCGCTCTATCGAAAACTCTCTTTGTTCCTGCTGTACTCCAACTTCGTAGTTTCCACAACCTGCATATCCTAACATGGTTTAGGCGTATGTGTGAATTTGTGCAACCCCATCAAATTACTTTCCAAAAGAATATTTGAGAACAAAATGAAAACTCCGACATATATTCAAGAAAAATGGTACAAGTCTATCTGATATAAGACTCTAACATGCCCTCTCCAACTGAGGCTAGACTAACACCTTGTCCCAAAGTGTTAAAATGGATTAAAACATGTGAGAGGACTAGATCAATACATATTGCCCCAGAGTATTTAGTCTCTTGAGTGATATACATCGACTCTTATACCATATGAGAATATGTGGAACTCATCAAATTACTCTCCAAAAGAGTCCTTAAAGAGAAAATAAATGCTTCGAAATATATTTAAAAAATGGTCCAGTTATAGTCAATATGAGAATTTAACATGATTAATTATTGAATACACACAATTAGGGCTTATCATTTGATAACTCCATAATTTGTGATATCTGTGAGATTGATCACAATCTAGTAGATACTAAATGTTATAAACCATCTAAACCAGTTAGTTGAGATATTTATGAAAATGATAAGAGTTCATTTATTATGACATAAATATTTATGAAAGATCATCATATTTCATTTATTATTATTAACATCTTATATTAGAAAACAATCAAGATATTTACTAAACCATGTATTCATTACACTAGATTACGGTGATCAACGGTGGCAGACGGTGGTTCAGATCGGGTAGTGGTCGGTGGTGGTTCAGATCGGTGGTAGTTAGTGGTGGTTCGGATGGCGCTGGTCGGCGGTGATTCAGACGACGGTGGTCAACGGTGATTCAGATCAATGATGGTAGGAGGTAGTCGACGATGGTTATATTGGGTTTTATAAGATTAAGATATATTGAGTTAAAGACATATTTGGTATTATGAAGATATAAAATTTCTTTTCATCAAAATACCATGTAGTTACTAAGTAATATTAAATTCTTTTATTTATGAAATTTATAAAATTTTAAACATTCATTTCATAGAAAAAAATAACCAAATAAATAATTAAAATTTAATCAATAAAATTCAACATTTCAATTCTAAGTACCAATCACCCCTTAATTTTCATAACTTTTCCCACTAAAAAACAGCACAAAAATCACAATTTTCTATAAAGGGTAACTTTTTATCCATACACCTGAAATCCACGCGGTAATTCGAGCGCGTGGGCACAATTCAAATATCGTACGGATGAATGCCGGATTGGCGGTCAGGGAAGAGAGACGTGTATTTCTTTCGCACATCGAATCGTACCGACCCGACCCGTTTATACGGAAAGAACCGTTTTGGTTTTATTCTTCATATACTCCACGATTTCTTCTTTCGTCTTCTTCACAAACCCTAGACAGTACAGAGAAATCTGAACCCTCCCTCCCTCCCTCTCTCTGTACATCTCATCACTTTATCACTAGGATCTCGATCGGCCGGAGAATCGCAACAGGTCTGGTTCAATTTCATGGAATTTGTCCTTTTTAATCGAGTTTTCGATCCTCATTGCGATCAATCACTTGATGTTTATATCTCTTTTCCTAATCTGTTTAATTTCCTTGTTGACGGTGACTTCATGTGCTTATATTGTTTCTTGCGGTTTGATTAGTGTTCCTTTCTTTTCTCTTGAGTGTGTATCGTTAATTATGCATCCATGATCATAAAGTTTTTGTATTTATGTTAGAACTCTTATAGACTTCTAACCAAGGGGGTTTTAGGTTTATGTGTATGGGGTCGGTGGAGGCATAGTAGAAGTACATGAAAGTATATTTACTAGTAAATGATTCACGGATTCGTGCTGTTTGAGACTCGCAATAACTTTGTGAGTTTAAAGATCGACTTTTTATTGGAGAAGTATGAGGTTGTGCGCTTCTTGATTTTGTAACATGGATTTATAGTACGATCGTAAAGATTTAACCAATTTAAATTGCTTGTATTTCAAGTTGTTCATGAGAATCTGCTTGATTGTTTTGGATTCTCATTTCGCAACTATGACTTCATCACAAAGGGTTTTTTGTGCGTGGGCAGCTGAAGCATATTAGAAGAACTTCCTTTTTTCTTTCGGTGATATGATGATCTTAAAACCATAGCTAGTTTGAAGATTTTTTAAGGTGTTAATCCACAAGTATTGATTTTAACACATAAGTATGAATGATCTTAAGATATCAATAACATGACACTGTGTTCTATTTGTTTGTTAAAATCAGTTTGATTCTCAATTTTGGAGTCACACTTCAAAACAAGGTTTTCACATGTTTTTGCTTGTATGGTGGAGGTTTTTGGTGGGTGGACGGTGAGGGTTGAAAAGTAGAGGCATAATGATAGATAAATTTGGCTGGTAACAGGGAATAGAAGTGCCTGGATATTTATTGTAAATGATGATAGGTAAATTTGGGCAGTTCGAGTCACTTTGATACTGATATTTGACCACATTTTGCAACCGGTATAAGTCGAATTTTACACATCCCTATTCCCATCGTGGAACATATTTAAATTGTTGAAAAGCTACAGAGATAACCTTCTATTATAAGTAGTGAATGGATTATCCCATAGGTTGAAGTTAATGGTGCCAGTGGCCTTAAAATTACAGGCATTTGTTGGGTAAGTGGCCATGGTGGCATAATTTATTGAAGGAGCATCACATGTCACTTCTGAACACTCTAGATGTTTTTGTGGACTTCTTTGAAATGCTTTAGTTGAGGCTTCAAGGGAACCATAAAGGGAGACAATCTGGCATCAATGCACTTTGCAATGGTTGTGTGTAGTTTTGTTTGGAGTTCAAAATTGATGCTATATGATAGTAATATGTACTTATTTTGATTAAATACGTATTGTTGTTTTTCACTTAAAAATTTCTTTTTGCATGACTATTAATAGAGGGGTCATTGGTCAGGCAAGAAAAACAGACCATGAACACTCAGGGGCAAGTTGTGAGGTATGCAAGAGGCGGTAGGCGAAGGAAGGAAGTGCTAAATGTGGATCTCAATGTTCCTCCCCCAGTTGAAAACCAGGAGCAAGTTGGAGGGCCAGCTGTTTCTGTGGCTCAGGGTGGACAAGGTGGGGTTCCGGCTATTCTAGTAGCTCATGGTTGGCAAGGTCATCAACCAGCAGGATCCACACAACCTGCACCAATTGATGTTGAGGAATTGGATGATGATGTCATTATATCCTCCCCAAGGGCATTTGAAGAAGTAGTCTTTTTCTATGCTAGAAAAATACTTTGCGTCTATTATTTATATCAACAGGTTTGTATTATATTCTTGTACTTATTTTCAGGCTAAAAACAAATCACGAAGAAGCCGGAGAACTTTGGTGGTTGATGTGGAATCTGGTAAATACTTCTACTTGCAACATGCAGTCATGTATTCTCTCTTATGTTATTACCAAAATTTGCAACAGTCCAGTTGCCATGATTATGTAATGCTGTCCACTTCATGCTATTCTTTGCTGATTATGCCATAGGTCCACCCTATATCAGCAACACGTCTAGAGTACTTTAAAATATCAATGTTTCTTTGTTCCATTGGTTTTTGCTTGTTCTTATGAAATTTTCTTACATTTTTCAATTGTTTTGCTGTGTATTACTCAGTTACTGTCTTTACAAAGTTTGGCTAGGGCAGCTGCAGTGCACCAGGCCTCCTCGGCTTTGTGGGGAGGAAATCTTTGTACATACACTTACGTTCATTTTAGAAAGAGAGTACTTACACCATTTGAACTCAAGACCTTCTGGTCACAAAAGGAGTAACATTACTTGCTGCTCCAGAGCTTGTTCTTGTTTACTGGGTTAGGTCTGTCAATAATAGCTTTGTCACTAAATATTACTTTGTAGCATCCAAAAAATTCTGGCCGTTGCAATTTTTTACCTTGTATAGGTGCCCAACTAATTAAACAGATTTCATTTTCGTTTTTTCATCAAACAAATTCAAGATAATTAAGAAAGGTTTTCATTATTTTTATCTTTCGGAATAATTATTTTGTTGTTTAAGTACTGCATCTAATTAATGTTTTCTGAATATGCTGGAGGATACATCCTAAAAGAATGCCTAAATTTTCTGGTGATTTAATTTCAATTCTCCTGAACGTATTGAGGACTTTGAACAAGAGTAAAATATTAATCAGTTGGTGTTTTAATTTTAATTCTCCTGAATGTATTGAGCACACGTGATTTAATCATAGGTTGCAAATTCTACAAATTTACCTTGTGTTACAAGTTATAATTTTAAGCAACGTCATATACTAATTACATACTTGCATTATTGAATCAAAACTAAGATACACAAGTCATTCCAGTCGCAATCATTGCTATTGCCCCATTATTATTTGTTCATATTGGGGTTATGATTATGGTTAATGGTAAGTGCTTATAGGTTAATGATGAAAGAATTACATAAGAGATAGTGAATATGTTTGTGTTTCTGTGTTGAATATAAAACTGCGTGGAAATGTTTACTACGTGCAGACTAGATTTTAACTATATAATCAGTTGAGAATTTGATATTATTTCCCCCTAACTTTTAGAGATTGGATTGTTGGTGTTTGATGTCTTAAATAAGCATGTATAATGAAAAGTTACAAAGCATGCATGGTAATAATGTTATTTCAACTCTTAGTATCTGTCACATATTCTTATGCCTTATAGTGCAATTACTTTTTGTATGGCAGAAGGAGGTGCTGTTAGGCTTGGTCTTAATCAGGGGAACAAGCGAAGAAGAGGTTCTGCAATTCCACCAGTTATCAATTGTGAGCGCTACGTGAATTTAGAAGGAAGCAGTGATTCTATGGTAATATTATTGTACTCTGGTGTCATAGATGATGTATTCCTTTCCTCTCACTTCTCTTTTTGCTTATACAATTATAGTAAGAAAATTATTTTTTACAATGAAAAAGTCGCAAAGTTTTAGAAATGTGTAATTAGTACATTTTTTATCCAACTCGATGACAGTTTTACTCTTAATAATAGAGGGAGTAATGAATTTCTCCGTATCATAATTAAGGGTATAATTGAAAAGTAGACTCTTACTCTTGTAAGTGGACATTTATTTTGGGACAAACTAAAATGGAAACGCGGACGCTTGTTTTTCCACCTCTGTTGGTGCTGAAATTTCCATATTTCCAATTATCGTTTCTCATTTTGAGAATCCATTCATTTGGTACGTGGGATAGGGCACGATAGTAAATACAAAAACTTGTCCCGTGTTGCAACATTAGACTGAGATTGGACAGGACTTGATGGGACACAAATGCACTTTCTCTATTCCACCAAAATAGGCGTAATAGTAAGATTGTAAATTACTAAGCCACTCATGTCAAATTAAAACCCTAACACCTTCCACAATTGTCTACCCGTCTATCTCAGTCTGGCCCCTCTAGTCCTGTCCAGTCCCTTCTAGTCTAGTTATGTCCAGTCCAGTTTCGCAGCGTCATGGGCGTACCAAATATCTCAATTTCCCAGATTTTAAAATTTGTGACCTTGGTGTATGCGGCTTCTTTCTTTGCAAGTGTGAATTTGTGTTAAAACTGATTAGTCTCTGCTTATGTGCTTTGGCATGCAATGGACGGTTTAAAGGTTTTTGTTTTCTACTCTGTGGTTGCAGAGAGGGAGAGCACATCACATTGTTGTGCCACCGCCACCTCCACCACCACCGAAGGATCCGACCTTCAGCTGTCCTGTTTGCATGGGACCGTTAGTTGAGGAGGTGACGACAAAGTGCGGTCACATTTTCTGCAAGGCATGCATCAAGGCTGCAATAAATACTCAGCCTAAATGCCCTACTTGTAGGCGGAAAGTTACTAACAAAGATATTATTAGGGTTTATCTCCCTACCACCAAATGAGTTTCAGGTATGTATACCTATTCCTCCGTTCTATTTTCAGGTAGCTTTCGTATTACTAAAGCTAACCTTACTGGCAAATCTAAAGACATACCTCCCTTATGGTGTACTCACAGTTTTAAAAGGCGAAATCGGGCCTTGAGGCGGAAATATATACACACCAAAATATGTATATACACTACACAAATATATACACACATATACACAATATATAATACTAAATTAAAGGGTGTTGGTTCAGCCGTTCTTGACAGAGGAAAGAGTGAAACCATGAGATAGGCTGGAGGATGTGGTGGAATATCCCATCTGTCCAGAGTTCTATTCCAGGCGTACACAAGTGTGGCCACTTGAGTTTTGATAGGCTGATTTTCTTGCCGTCACAATTCGCTTTGGATTAGTCCAGGACGCCCTTCCAAAAAAAATATCTATATCTTGTGATGAACCCCCTGCTGACATGTCTCTAATCATGTACCGACAGGTGTACGGCATACTCATAGACACCGCTAGTTCGTGTGTCGATAAATGTAAAGGAGATCTCGAGCCTAATTAGTAGCGAAAGCAGGAGATTTGATTTCGGTTTTTTTTCTCTCTATCTTCTGTTTCTGTTGTTTTAAGAAGGGGGGGTGGGGGGTAGGAAGGTAGGAGGAATCTGAACTTGTTCTCAAAATGTTTTTGCTGGATCACAGTAGTTGTATTTGGTCAACTGAAGGTTGCTTTGGTCTTCTTGTGTCTCTGGTAATCTGTGCAGTTAATTAGTCTTTTAATTGAATCAAGATTTGTTAAACTGGTTTGCATGGATATATGAATAGGGCTGTAAACGAATCGAACGAACACGAACGGAGGCTTGTTCATGTTCGTTTGTTTAACTTAACCGAACAAACGAACAAACACGAATGGTAAACGAACGAAAATCTTTGTGTTCGTGTTCGTTCGTTTAGAAATAAGGTATGTTCGTGTTCGTTTATGTTCATTCGTTAACATGCTAAATGAACGTAAATGAACGAACATAAACGAACAGGCTAAACGAACATAAACGAATGAATATAAACGAACGAACGTTCACGAGCATAAATGAACGAACGAAACTCTTGTTCATGTTCGTTCGTTTAACTAAACGAACAAAAAAATGTGTAACGAAACTCTTGTTCGGTTCGTTTATAGCCCTATATATGAATATCGGGTTTGCGCCAGTAATGGTTTTTAAAGATAACAGTCAGGAAAATTATTTTCCTGTTTTGGAAGCTCTTAATGGTCTACTTTTTATTTCTCAAGCTGCTTTTTGCCTCTGTTCATAGGGCTGTCATATGGGTTAGGTTGAAGATGTTAGAAGTTGGGTTGACGAGTTGGTGCGGTTGAAATTGTGGTACATCATTTTAAAAACTCGTCAAGCAATTGTGTTTGAATGAAATAAAATCAAAATGAGAATTTATATTGTATTATATAGTATTTGACTAAAACTTTTATAAAACATTTTTTTATGCATGAAGTATTGTTTATTAATGTATATTACATAAAATTCAAGGTTACATGTAAATTGTGCGTAAATACAACTTATTAAAGCTTCTTGTTTGAATTTATGTAATTAACTACAGATAAATATAATCAAATGTAAGATAAACATCTTATTTTAAATATAAAAAATCTAAAATATAATTAAGATAATTATTGAATTCTAACAAATTACTTAATTATTATCTTTATAAAAAATTATATTATTAATCCAAAAAAATTGAATTAAAAAAATACACAAAAAAATAAATAATCAATTTGGTACCAATATCAATATTTCTTTTTCAAAATTTTATGATATATCTTTATATTTATATTTCAACTAAAAAAAACATTATATTTTTATCATAATTACATAAAATCGTATTATAATATCGATCGAGACAAAAAAAAGTAAAATGACATTAAAATCGAGATGTATATCGTTGTATTGTGCTAGTAATCTTCTAGTATGTATGTATGTGTGTGTGTGTATATATATATATATACATATACATACTAGAAGAGTACTCGTGCAATGCAGTGAGACACATCTCGATTTTAATGTTCTATTTATTATTTGTCTGTCGATCTTATGTGTTTTTAAGAAATCAATAATGATTTTATTTTTGAATAAAATATAAATTTGAAAATATTATAAAATTTTGAAAAAAATTTATCAATATTAATATCAAATCAACTATTTAAAAGTTCTGATTTTTTATGTAATTTCTTTAATTTATTATTTTTATTGTAATTTAATTTAAGTTTAATAACGAAATAATTTATTTTTGGTTTAATAATATAACATTTAATTAAGTATTTTGTTAGAACTCGATACATAAACCATTTTTTATGCATATTACTTAAAACAGTACTTACGCACAACAGTACTTTTTATGCGTAAAGTACTGTTTATTAATGCATATTACTTAAAACTCAAGATTGCAAGTAGATTGTGCGTAAGTACAACTTATTAAAGCTCCAAATCTGAATTCGTGTAACTAAGTGCAGATAAACATAATCAAATACAGAATAAACATCTCATTTTAAATATAAAAAATCTAAAATATAATTAGGATAATCATTGAGTTCTAACAAAATACTTAATTATTATCTTTATTAAATGTTATATTCAGAAAACATTAATTAGATGCAATATTTAAACAACAAAATAATTATTCCGAAAGATAAAAATAATGAAAAAGTTTCTTAATTATCTTGAATTTGTTTGATGGAAAAACGAAAATGAAAAAAATGTGTAATTTTTGTAAATCTTAATTTTAAATCTTAAGTCAGTCATCAAATGATCATTATTTTTCTATTATACATTAAATCATACACCAGTTTATTTAGTCCGACCACTTAAATAATTTTATTTCAAACCATCTAAATACGTCAAATAACCCCTAAGAAACAAAATACTGCAAAATTTATTCAGATGATGAAGCAAAAAACTCAAACAAGATCACGTATGAATGAATCAGTGATTTAACAATCCGTGATCGATCAAGAAACAAACAAACAAAACCTTCCTGATTTTGTTTTGGTGTGTGGTACACTAAACAAGAGAGAACAGAACAAGGGTTATTGTTGTATGTTTGACATGACTTTTATGTAGAACAAACGGAAATAAAGTGGAACAGGTGTGTTCCACCCGTACCCCATGGAACAAAATAGAACAAACATATATTTTACCAATATACCTTTAAAATAAACCTAATTCTCTTTTAGAACGTCAATATTGTTCTCTTTTTACATTTATCCGTTCTTCAAATTTTATTTATTATATTTTTTTCTCTTTAAATTTTCATTTCCTGTCCTTAAAATATTATTTGTATAGATTGTCTATATTTTATTAAATTACGCAAAATTTATTAAATGTTAAATAACAAAAAATTAATATAAAAAGGTATAAAATAAAATTTAAAAATTAATAAATTTCATATTTTGGTATTACTTCGATCATTTTAACGAAAACTTCATTTTGCTATAAAAAATGTTTATTTTACTATAATTTAATAAATTACATAAATCAATAAAAATTTAGAAAATATGTAAATAACTCATTGGGGTAAATAGGTCATTTTATCAGCCATCTTTTATCAATACTGGACAACTGTCATGTCCCATCCCGTCTGAGTACCAAACGCACTCTTTGAGCCATGTACCCTCTTATACATACAACTGAGAAACAACCATCAGAACATACGTCTCCACTCCATAAAATACAACGGAAACCTAACATCCAGTAAAGCCCAACCTTCCAAAAGTCAAGGGTTCAAACCTACCAAATGTGATCGTAGTATTTACAGTATATAAATATTATATATTTAAAAAAATATGCAAAATAAATTGATTTGAAATATAAGGTGAAAGCAATGGGCTACCATTTAATCCATGTTGGTCCATAAATACATAATTTCCACAATCCACCCTTTCAAATTGCAAATTCACAATTGCACCCAATTTAATTTCAATAAATGCACTTCATTATGTTACATAAAATCGGAAATTTTTCCGCATATCGCGTTCATTTGACATTGCCCGATTCGTACGAGATGTGGCACAGGGTGGCATGAGTTGGAAATAACTGGTTTCATGTCATAAATATCGTTAAAATAGATTCTAAAAAAAAGAGAATTTTTATGCAGAGATGGTCTTTTAAGTCTCCAAAATTGGCATATGGGAAGGACTCGACCACCGACCTTGATTGCTTAGTTGCATTATTTGGTACGACGCATAACAGAGCAAAAACTTCTTGTCCAGTGTTTGGTGTGACATCCAGACCAGGATAGGAGAACACTGAGTAAGACAAAGATGCATTTTTCTATCCTACCAAAAAAGGGAACAAAAATCATGAAGATGGGACAAGATTGTTAAATTACTAAACTGCCTATGTCAAATTAAAACCCTAAAACCTTACACTATTATTTTCCCTGCCTACCTCACTTGCACCTGTCCAATCCCAGTGACATTTAGATTGGGGTGGCAAACTGAGTAGGGAAAAAATTGCATAGGTGGAACAAAAACCAAGGATATGAGACAAGATTGATAAATTACAAAACTACCATTTCACCCTCCTAGCTTACTCTAGCATGTCCAGTCCCGTAACGCATACCAAACGCACAATGCCAGTATCATGTAGCGTGTGTTTTCAATATCGTTTCCTCAAATTGCGCTATAAATAGAGAAGGCATCCGATGCTAAATTCTCATCCGAAACAAAGTGCTCTCCTCCACTATTCTTCTCTATGCCGATGGAGAGTGTTTATAAACCAATGGTCTTGCTTCTTGCCTTTTTCATAGCTTTCTCGAGTCTAACGACCTCAACCAATGGCCATAAAGCGAAGTTCGGGATTCACAATGCAAGAAGTGGCGAAAAGGGCGTAAAACAGGAAGATGACGCAAGGATGCCCTCCGATGGCTTACCATATCCCGGAGAAAACATTGGATACCCTCAAGATCTTTATGGTTCTATGGCTTCCATGTACTTTCCAGCTTCTGGAGATGGTTTCCAGGATATGATAATGGGTAAAGATGGTCAGAAGAAGGTTGATGGTCAGAAGGGATCTCTTTACTATGGTGGATACCCCCCGTATTCCTATGGATACCCGCCCGTTGGCTATGGGTATGGGTATGGGTACCCATTTCCATTCCCGTTTACGGGGGGTATATTTGGATACCCACGAGGCATCTTTGGATTCCCTCGAGGCATCTTTGGATTCCCTCGAGGCATCTTTGGATTTCCACCATTCAGAGGGGTTCCAGGTGGTTATGGTGGATTTCCACCATTCAGAGGGGTTCCAGGCGGTTATGGCGGAAGCCCGGGTGGTTATGGCGGAAATCCAGGCGGTTATGGCGGAAATCCAGGCGGCTATGGCAGTGGAGGGCCGGGTAGCAAACCCGGTGGTGGGGGGTACTCTAAAGCTGAGATGAAGGGCAAAGAAGTCAATTCCCATGATTGAATTCTTCTATTCACAACATTTCTGAGGATTTTAGGTCTCAACTGAATAACATCAACTCCTAGTCTTACATCTTATGAAGATTTCTGTTTTCTTTGTTCTGTTTTAAGAGAGTTGTGTAGTTCAGGCTCTAGGGATGCTTATCCTGGTTCGGTTGCTTAATTTAAGGTATTTGTTTTTCCTACGCAATACTTGCTATAGTGACTTGTACCTTGTGCATTGAAGCTATAACGTGCTCTGGGGAACGACCAACTAGTAGTAAAGAGAGGTTCTATGCCTTCACCATATCTGATAAATGTTATACCCCTATATATATAGCGGCATGTTCCGTTAGAAACCGAAAATTGATAAGGAACCCGGCAACCGTGGCATATTCATTATGAATGTGTGATTTATGATGAATAACACTTCCATATTCATTATGTATGTGTTATTCATGATGAATATTCATCCTGAAGAGGGACACATGGAATGTTGTTGACAGTTCCTGGGTTTCCAATCAGTTTTGGGTTCCTAACAGAACTTCCTTATATATATATATATATATATATATATATATATATATATATATATATATAGAGAGAGAGAGAGAGAGAGAGAGAGAGGAAGAATCATGCGAGAAGTTAAACATTTTGCAAGAAAACGAGAAGTTCAATATCATATATGATTACGCTCCTTTGGGTGTGTTTAATCTTATATGATTAAGCGTCTATGTGTTATCAATGCAACAAGTGTTTAATCACATACCATTAAACTTGTGTATCATGCGTGTAATCATATACGATATTGAAACTTCTCGCCTTCTCGCAAAATGTTTAGCTTCTCATATCAACTTGCCTCTCTCTCTACATACATACATACATACATACATATATAGGTGAAGGATCATGTGAGAATGAGAGTTAACGTGAGAAGCGTAAGAAGGGATCCGAACCCTTGATCACCTTTAATCTCAAACTTACTCATGAATCACGCTTGATACGGTGATTGTTCTGGTGCATCTCATCCTAACGTGCATCCAAGAGTAAAGATCCCTTCTTACACTTCTCACTTAACTCTCCTCACCGAAACCCAACCCTTCATATACATAGGACCAGGTTCAGGGGAACCCGCAAAAAATGAAAACCTAAGGGTGAACCTTCTTTTGTACGATATACACGTGCATACAAGTAACTTGTATGGTACGCACATGTGCATAACATGCACATGTACATAGAAACCAGGTTCAATTACTTGTATGCACATCTGTATATCGTTCAAATGAATGGTTACCAAGGTGTTCTTTAGCTTTCCCTTTTTTTGGGTTTTCCCCTGAACCTCCTTCTCTCTCTCTGTATATATATATATATATATATATATAGTTGCACATGGAGACATTCAGATAGATAGAAGAAATATAAAGTGAAAATGCAATGTACAATTAACTGAACTCATGGTCATGGTACAAGTTTTCTTAATATTTAAACCATTTAACTCGAAGTTTATAATACCAAATATTGATAAAGTACGTTTCTTTCTACTCTAAAACATTATTTTCGCTTAGTAGATTATTGGTATATATCATTCTACATGCATAACAGCAGACAATAGACATTTTTCTGGATGGTAAAAGGGTACAATATCAGATATGCTTATCTTTTTGCTGGCTTCTTTCTCCATTCAGTGCGACACCGGTTGATTTCAAGACCATTGCCAGATGATCTTAGTAGATGCATAAATCGGCTCAAATCTTGTTCATCCTTTTTGGAGGGAACGGATCCATTGCACCCCGTGAACTCTATAACTTCAGCATCTTCGAGTGGTTCACGACTGGTGAGTGAATCAACTATATCATCCCGTTGGCATTCACGTCTATAGTCTAAGGTAATAGCTTGCAGTTCATGGGTGTCGATGATTTCTGGTGGGATGCTCTGTTGAAGATTTTCAAGAAAAACAAGTAGTTAATGCATTGTAATCACCTATAAATAGTGGTTGAAATGAAACCATTATTTCCATACCAAAGTAAGACATCACTCAAAGAATTTAGCAACAACAGTCGTAACAGGAAGAGAGAACTGCAAATAACTTATGCAGATTCGTCAACGTACTTCCGTTTGCAATTGAAATAACGAGCATAATGGTTGAAAATCTAATTCACTCCATTTTTTATGAATATGGATAGACATAAGTGACCCAAGGCACAACTGTAAATTGATTTTCATTTAGGGGGGTTCGGAGAAAATAAAAGGCCAAGGGATAAAAACTTCAGTATAGTCAAGAAACCATTTCCGGTCATTCACAATAATGGCAAAATTAAATAATTAGGGAGAAATGCATCAAATTGCAATAAGGTTTGGTTTACTTCCTGTTTAGTATAACGAATAATTTCTTTTTCAATCGATGTAACAAAGTTACACAATTTTCTATTTTGTACCATTTTGACCGTTGACATGTTAATATTGTAACATTTGATGACGTGGATAACCGTATGCAAGGGATTTACAAAACGGTTACAGTGAAGTGGACGATAAATTTGATATAAACATCATCAAATGTTACAAGACCAGGGTGAAAAGAACAGGAAATTTTTGAACTTTGTTACATTAAATAAGAAATTTTGAAACGTTATCATATTAAATAGGAAAATATGAAACTTTGTTACATTAATTGAGAAATAAAAATTCTTCACACAAAATAGAAACTAAGGTATACTTCGTTATATTCTGATACATTTTGCAAATAATTTAACTTCGTAGAACTTTCCCTGTTATTATAGGGAGCCTCTCCTAAGTGTTATGATTTCCTATTCAGGCAAAAGCGAACTCACCGACATAACACACACACACACACACATATATATATATATAGAGAGAGAGAGGAAAGTTCTTTTAGGAACCAAAATGTGTTAGAAACCTGGGAACGGCTCACATCGCGCCACATATCCCTCTTCGGGATGAATATTCATCTTGAACAGCACATTCAAGATGAATATGTTATAACATTCATGTTGAATAATACGTCCATGGTCCATATTCGTGATGAACATACCACATGTGTTGTCCCCAGGTTCCTAATCAATTTTAGGTTCCTTTGCCCATATATACATATTCTCGATGTTGTTGGACAAAACCTTGTACAAAACACAATCTTATATGTTGACACCATGAAACAGCGAAAATTTACCAACTTCCAAACTCACTAATGTAAGTAAATCACCAGGTCATGTAGAATATATGGGACACTGAAATCTTTTACTAACCTCCAAAGCCCATCCGATGTAGGTAACATTGTTGACGTGTTTGTTCATATCCAGATCGGATCTTCTTGGCTGTATATTTAGAGGATTATTAAACACAAAATAACTGCCACTAAAAATATAGAGCTTATATGTAGCACAAATAGTAGTCTTACCACAAGTCCGAGCCTGGAATATTCAGCTGGATCTTCCAGTTTTGCTATTTTCTTCAGGCTATTGTTGTTCTCTTCAGGAAATGCTAATCTGGAAGCCATAACACAGAGTTGTAAAGACAACTAATCTTGCCAGCTAAAATAAATCCTATTTCAGAAAGAACCAACTTATCACCTATAACATGCCTTCAGTTTCATTCACAACGTATATGGATTTGAATTATAGTTCTGTAAGGGTGCGTTTGGTTTACTGGACATAACAGAATAGAGATCATTGTTCCATGTTTGACGGGACTTTTATGAGGAACAGAGTAAAACATGCGTGTTCCACCATCACCCTATGGAACAAGGTGGAACGGACCTATATTTTACCAATATAACCTCAAAATAAAACATAATTCTCTGTTAAAACATCAAATATGCCTCTCTTTTTACATGTTATTCACTCTTTAAATTTTATATATTTTATTTTATGCTCTCTGAAACTATCTTGAAAATATTATTTTATATGGTTTTTATATTTTGATTAATTTATGTAATTTAATAAATATTAATAATAATAAAATAATATAGGTATAAAATAAAAATTGGAAAGTACATGAACTTTATATTTTGGTGTCATTTTAATCGTCTTGACGAAACTCTCTAATAATATTTTGCTATAAAAATATTTATTTTACTATAATTTAATAAATTACATAACTAAATTAAAAATATATAAACAACTCATTTTATATATTCTATCATGTCCAGTTTTGTCTTACCAGACGCTGAATAACTGCTCTCTCATATCCTGTTTTGTCCCGTCGTTGGATACCAAACGCACTTAATGAACTACCATGAGCACTTCTCATGCGCCTCAAAACAAGAATCATAACTACGACATCTTTTCCTTTTTATTGTTATTATTTTGTTAGCATATATACAAGCATCTTCAGGTTTCCAGCCTAGAAGCCGACTTACCCCAATATAGGAATTAATTACCAGGAATCCAAGATGATTTCATGGTATTTTAAACTGGTCGCTGACAGATAATGCATGATGTAATGATGTGCCCAAAGGGTTTTAATAAATACACTCAATATATCAATGAGTCCATTTATGTTGTATGAAATGATACAAGTATATGCAAAAACACAACAATCGTGAGTAATCTCAATCAACTTTGCATACACATTGTCATAACTCGTAAACCAGATTAATTCTTCTCCAAAAGAATATTCACTCGTTATTTAGCAGTGATAACTTGAGCAAATGCATTAAATGTTTGTGTGTGAGATATCACGGGAATTGATATATTAGCAAGATAATGTCTACCTTAATGTCCTGGGGCAAAAGACTAAATACTCCTCTCTGACATCATCACTGACTTTCTGCAATCTTCTAGTATCCTCGTTCATCATCACCCATTTGCTGCAGATTTAATGGGGAATAGTCAATTTGCAATTCAGGTGCTCAATTGATTGTTCGCAATCGATAACAAACACACAAAAAGAGCATAGAACATACTACCCCGTATGTACGTGGTCAAACTCAACTGGTCCAAAGAACGAGAGTCGGTTTCCATAAGTCCGTTGTTCCTCAACACGGCGAAAGTCAATAGTTCGAATGAAGAGAAAAAAAAACATTGGAGGACCATGCAAAGTGGGTCTTTCATAAACATTGACCAGACAAGTGACTAATCTAATAGTTAGATCAAACAATGATGACAAGAGATACAAATGTTCTCCAGAATCATAAAGATGGACAAGAGGCAATGCATCAAGTCTCATGTTGTAGGTTTTTAAAAACCACAAAGGTTGCCATCCTGTTTTACTTGTTTATCACGGTAATTAGAATTTAGGGTCTCTTTGTTAGCAGCTTAATGAGCTTAATAAAAGTTGCAGCTTTTTCGGTCAGCTATACATGACCGTTTAGTAGTGACTTAGTTATATAGAAAGTGGCTTATTCAGTAAGCTTCTAGGGAGGTTTATGCAGAATGCCAAGTTTTTTCTAAACATGTCCATCCCAATTAAAAAGAATGCTCCTTCTATATATATGAATAACCCCTCTCAAGCAAAAACTTTCTCATACTATACAGACAGATTAATCCACACAGACAGCTTTATTCATACATGACTTAATGAAAAAACCCACCAAACAGCCCCTTAGTCACTTAAGGACACGCTTACTTTCAAGATCTGATATTGTTTTTGACAACAGTTTTATCGTAACTGACAGTAATGTGACTATAATATAGACTCTGTAAGTTGCACAATTCCACTCTGAAATGTGACTGACATTCTGGATAAAAAAATTATGTATAGGATATGTTATAAGGAGGTCAGTTTATATGCAAGATCCCCAAAGTGTGTTTAAACAATAAGCTTGTAAAGCACTGGATGATGGTTCAGTGGGCTGTGAATCTCTCGTCGGTATAAGCACCAAAACTGAGGGCCTGTTTGTTATCAGCTTAATAAGCTTAATGGGACTCAGCTTATTCAGGCAGCTAAACATAACTCTTTGATAGTGGGTTACTGATATAGAAAGTGACTTATTGAGTAAGCTTCTAGGAGGAAGCTTTATGTTTAAAGTTAAGTTTTTTCCAAACGTACGCGTTCCAATAAAAAAAACCATCCCAAACAAAAACCTTCTCAATTCATACAAACAGATAACTTTATCTATACAGGATTTAATGGAAAACCAACCAAACAGTTCTTGAGCTTTATAGGAGTACAAACCTAACTTTAAGTGCATCTGTGCAAGGGTTTGTTGAATTGAGCTGCAGTTCTACAATGTACTCATCCAATCTGAGTAAGTTTACAACTTAAATTGTGAATTTGTGACATCTAAAGGAGAAATAATGTGTTCTTTCTCTGTTCATTATGTTTTCTTTATATTCAAGACATGCTCAAGTTCACTGTGACTAATTAGGGCATGTTTGTTAGCAGCTTAATGGGAATCGCAACTTATTCGGTGAGCTATACAGATAAAATCAACTTGAGGGAAAGAAGAAAAAGATATCGAGAAACACCTTGTAGCCCTTCCAATGACCTCACCATTCGCATAGTCTTTGAGAATCCAATCACGTCTGGTCCCAATCCTTCCATCACCTTGAACCCAAGTCTCAATTTCAATCACATCACTCCTATCACACATGCCAACATATAGAACATAAGAAAATTGAAGTGATAAAACCCGCATGAAAGTCGTTGATAAAAAATTCCAACAAATTTACCAAGCAGGGTATCTGTATACTTCAATATGCATTCTTGCAGTAACCCATATGAGATGCAATTTCCTCATAGTGGTCGTTGTGGCAAATCCATCAGTAGAAAATCCAACACTCTGAGCATGATTACCTCCAACCTCCTACAAAGTGTTTAGCAATTTGCAACAAATTTGAGATAGAAGCAAAGATCAATTTGTTATCCAAACGTCTAGTGCTAATGTCCCCCGTTTCACTTCAAATTCCCACCTCTCTACCCAGACCCTCGAAACTTAAAATTAAATTATGCACATACATACATTCATGCATATATACAAGCAAGTGGAGTCTCGAATGTGCAGGGAGTGTTAGGGCCCGTTTGTTAGCAGCTTAATAAGCTTAATGGGACTTGCAACTTAATCGGTTGGCCGGCTCTACATGACTGTATGGTAGTCGCTTAATGATATAGAAAGTGACTTATTCAGTAAGCTTTTGGGACCTTTAAGCAGAAAATCAAGTTTTTTTCAAACTTGCGCCTCCCAAGTGCTCCTTCTATCTACGAAAAAAATCTTGAACAAAAATCTTCTCAATCTATATATATACAGATTAATCCATACAGACATCTTTATTGGTACAGAACTTGATAGAAAACAAACCAAACAGCCCCTTACCCTTCCATGGCTAACGAATATACAAGCAACAACTAAGAAAGCAACGAGCTGTCAGCTTACCATTCCATTGCAAGAACAATAGTAGAATGCCCTAACTGATCGAATTTAAAATATGATCCAAATTTGACTAACAAGTATATAATAATCAACAATCTTCCTGAAGTCCTTAACAGGTAGCAACAAGCATTGACCAATTCATCAAATCATCCAAAATTCAACCCTTCTGACTCAAATTGAGTTAAACAGTAAAAAAAAAAAAAACTAACCTGCAACAGATTGGCAATTGTTTCAATAGTAGCAGTTTTGTTAATTCCAACTTCATAACACCTTATAATGAACTTCTCCTTATACGATAATCCGTCCTCCGTCAAGCTCCCCAACCGTAGCCGGTTCCCCAGGCTCTTTTCCTTCTCCGCCTCATGTAAACTAGCAAGACCACTCGGCTGCTCACCGGTCGCCACCGCCAGTAACGGAGAAACCTTTCTCGACGACAAATTGCATAAAAACACGTTGTATTTTCTACGAATTGAGACGGAACCGATGGATCGGGACTGAGTTAGGGCACAAGTAGCATCTTTGGCGGAGGCATTGTATATCGCCGGCGCCACCGGTGAACCTTTCGATAACATAATTCTTACAACCTCGAACGTCAACGTCCAATAAGATTTCTCCGATAGTCAGTGGGAAAGAGGGTTTTCTGGTTTGAGGTTTCCAGGATGAAAAAATGGGGGTATTTATGTAATTTTAGTCGGATGAACAGCCGGAAGTGCCACAGAAGTTGTGATTATTTACTCTCTTGCCCTCTCAACTAATTATTGTTGGAGTAAATTACACGTTTGGTCCCTTTGGTTTATATGCTATAACGTCTTGGGTCCCTATGATATGTATTTTATAACGTCTTGGGTCCCTTGTCTCTAACTCCGTTAACGGAATTTGTTAAATTACGGGGTATTTTGATGTTTTTGTTATTAATTCATAATTCATATTCTATTAAAAATTTAAAAGCAGTGTACTAAGGTGGCGTTTGTTTTTTAAGAGGTGCTGAAGTCTGAAGTCTGAAGTCTGAATTCACTTCTGAATTTTAAGAGGTGGTGCTGAAGTCTGAAATTTGAATCAGTCAGACTGTTTGTTTTTACGTCTGAAATCTGAAATCTGAATCAGTCAGACTGTTTGTTTTTGTAAACTGACAAACTTCTGAAGTCTGAAATCTGAATCAATTCATTTCAATTAAACTTAACTGAAATATCCAAATCATTTAAACCATTTGTAAACTGCCATATAATTAAACCATTGTTTTTGCYGCACCAATGATGTAGGAACTATGATCTCTTCTACTATACTTGACAAATATAAACGTGATATATAATTGTGTAATCATAAACCATTACCCAATCAGTTATACAGTTGATCAATCACAGGTAATAACAATCTTTAGCTCATCATCTCTAAGCCCAAAAGCAGCCCAAGGCTGCTGTAAGCCCAGACCAGCAGCAATGAGAAGGAGGAAAAACCAGCCCAAGTTGCTGCCCAGTCCTGAAATCGGCAGCGAGAGAGAGAGACGTGTGCAGCGAGAGTTCGGGAGAAGGAGCAGCAGATCGGGAGATCGTGGGTGAGTTCGAGGAAGATCGTGGGCAAATATGGGAGCAATTAAAGAGGACAGCAGCAAGCTGTCGAAGAGGGAGAGGCTGGTCGCGTGGAAGGAGAAAAGAAGGAGAGGGCGGTCGCGAGAGAAATCAAGCAGCCGGCTGTCGTTTGAGAGAAAAACCGAGGACGAGGGCTGTCGATAGAGGCGAGAGGGAACATCGAAAGTGGACAGCAAAAGGGGCTGTCATCAAGCAGCCGAGAGGAAGAAATCGAGCAGCAGGGGGCTGTCGATTGGAAGCAGCAGGGGGCTGTCGATTGGAAGCAGCAGAAGAGGGAAGGAAGCAGCAGCCGAGAAGAAGGGGAATCAAATTAAGAGGTTTTCAGAGTTAAATTTACATCTAACCGATTCAGACAAAATGAGACATTTTCAGCACTTAATTTATAAAAAAAACAAACGCACTTAATTCCTCTAGGTCTGAATCGGTCAGACTTAAGAGACAATTAAGTGATTTTTTAGAAAAACAAACAGGGCCTAAATGTATTAGATATTATATAATATATTTATTTATACATATATGTTTACAGGAGTCTCACTTATAAAATCATCCACTGTTGTTACTAATATCTTGGTAGCACACACCACGTAGATCTATCCCTTATATTATATCACCCATGACCACCACTTATTCCCACTCTCCAGTGAACACTCCCCCACCGGTATCAACTTCAAACAACGGTGATTCCATCAGTCTTAACTCCAACCCTTAATATCATTGTTCCTTTCCGCCCTTCGAACATTGACAAAACCAGACCTGCAATATTCATCTTTATCAAGATCTTGATTTTACACCTTCTTCATCATCTAGATTTGTAGAAGGATATTTTGTATAGTTTTTGAATCACACTTTTTGAGTAGTTACACACATTTGTTTGTGTTCGCAAATGTTCATGTTTAAATGTTATATCCGTTTATGTTATGATATTCATCTTTTGATCTTTATGCAGAATTAATCTGGGTTCAAATCCATTCAAAAGAAGGGAATTTGGGGTTGATGAATGTTCGTGTTGATAAATACTGGTTCAGTTGAGAAACATGACAGAAAAAAGGGTTGTAGTGGTGATTGGATGGAAAGTTGTTGCTGGAACACCTCAACCGAGAAGCATAAGAAAGGAAAATGAGAGAAGAGGAGCAGAGGAGACGTGGCAGTATTAATTAGTATTTGAAAATGTTTTTTTTATATTTTTTCTAAAAGAAAATATGAAAAATAAGTAAAATGACTAAAATGTCCCCTTAATCAACCTACTTAACATAATACTTTTAATGGAGTTAGAGACAACAGACCCAAGGCGTTATGCATACCACAAGGTTGTAATTGATAATCACTTCAAAAACAGGGACTTAAGGTGTTATAACATGTAGACTATAGGGACAAAGCATGTAATTTACTCTTATTATTTATTTATTTTCCTTTTTATTTGGAGAAAAAAAATATCGTGTTTTTAATTATTTTTATGTTTTTAGTTGGTTTTTAATTATTTTGTCATATCACCCACCGTGCGGGCTACATCAATAAAACAAAACTTATTTTGTTTTTAATCGTTTAAATTAATATATGATATTACGATTATAAAATTACAATAAAAAATAAATACATATACATAAATTAATATACGATTCTCATTTACCTTATTAATTATATTCATGACCATCAAAATAAATTGTTGGTAAACGTCTTTTACATATTATGTTTTTATCAAATAAGAGTATTAATTTTCACTTGTTACGTAAGATTGCTACGCTTCTTATCCCCTCTTGCAGGGTAAAATTATTGGTCTTAACTCATGCTCACATGGTAAAGTAAGTGATATCAAATAAGCACTTACGTATTAAATATTTGGTAAACAGCCCATAAATTGATATAAAACAACTGTGATTTAGATTAAAATATTAAGAAAAATATATTTTACAAACTAGAATTATTCTTATCATATATTAAAACTAGTAGGGTACTCGTGCAATGCATCGAGATACATTTTCATTTCAATGTTTCGTTTTGTTTTTTATCCATGTTGATATAATACGATTTTATGTGGTTTCGAAAAAACAACAATGTTTCTATTTTTGAATAAAATATAAAATTTCAAAATATCATATAAAATTTGCAAAAAAAATATCAATATTAGTATCAAATTGACTATTTAAAAGTTCTTGTTTGTTTATTTTTTTAATTCAACTTTTTATTATAATTTAATTTAACATGATGAAGTAACTTAATTTAGGTTTAATATTATATTTTTTTATAAAGATAATAATTAAGAATTTTGTTAGAACTCAATAATTATCATAATTATATATTAGATTTTTTTATATTTTAAAATGAGATGTTTATCCTCTATTTGATTATGTTTATCCGCAGTTAATTACACGAATTCAAATATAGAGCTTTAATAAGTTGTACTTATGCACAATTTACTTGTAATCTTGAATTTTAAGTAATATGTATCAATAAACAGTACTTCATGTATAAAAATAGTTTTTAAAAGTTTTTGTCAAATGCTTTATAATATAGTATATATATTTTACAAACTAGAATTATTCTTATCATATATTAAATTTATTCGTTTCTCACCAAAATATATATATATATATATATATATATATATATATATATATATATATGAGCGATCAAATGAAAACCACTCCAATTTGTAAAAACCATAAAAATTACTCTCATATGTCTTAATCTTATGAAAATTTTTCATGAAATTGTTTAATCTTGTGAAGTTGTTTCATATAATACTCTTTTTGATGAAGTTGTTTCATACATGGTTATGAAATTGTTTCATATACTACTTAATGAAATTTTAATGAAACTGTTTCATGTATTTATCTAAAATTAAAATAATGAAGATGATAATATCCATGATTAACATCATTCACAATAAAAATGATTAATCAACCTCTCATAATTATAAAAAAATGAACAAAATAAAAAATTATGAATGGTGGAATGAGGCTTTTATGGTTTTTACAAATTGAGTGATTTTCATTTGATCGTTCCCCTATATATATATATATATATATATACTTGGGATCATGTGAGACCAATCTGTTTTTCACGAGACACGTAAAACCATTTTTTTATACTTGAAATTTCACAGCAAAACGTTGTGTAGGTAACATTCACAATGTTTTTGTTATGAAGGTTCGACTTCTTTTTTGCATTCACAACGTTTTATTGTGAAGTTTCAAGTGTATAAAAATTGTCTTATGAAAACAGATTGATCTCACGTAAACCCTACCATATAAATTTATGTGTGTATATGTGAAGTATTTTAATTGCACCTCCAGTGCAGCTCGAACGCACGTTTAAAAAAAATAAAATACAAAGCACATCTTCTTTGACTTAAAACGTGATATATTCAATAGTCGCTTAATCTAATCGACATAATTTCCACCAAACGGCGTCGTCTTTAAGTTTTTAATTAGCACATGTTTTCGGATAGGGGCTAATTCTTTCGATGGAAAATCCTTAAATATTCACATGTGTTTTTTGTTGGTTTAGTTTGTGCTCTTTAGCAATTGTTGAATGGTTTGCTGTAAAATGATTAAGTGGTCATAATGATTAAGATGCTCTTATGATGTAGTGCAAAATGAAATATAATTGTTTGGTAATTGTGTATAATGAAATTAGGGCTCTTAATGGTTAAGGGATATTTATGATACAAAATCATTCAGAGAGTTTTAGAACCATTAAGAGACAGACTTTTATTTTGCCAAACAAGATTCACATCTTAACGATTCAGATGTTGCCTCTTAATGGAACTATTAAGAGGTAAACAAACAACCCCAAATAAACGAAATAGAAAATGGTCTTGTTTGTTTATTTACGATCGTAAACGTTTGCTATTATGTTTATTAATATCCATTCATTTTTGTTCTTTTACATCTATTTACGTTTGTTCGTTTATATATACTATGTTATAAAACATTTGATAAAAACTCTTAAAAACCATTTTTTATGCATGAAGTATTGTTTATTGATGCATATTACTTAAAATTCAAGATTACAAATAAATTATCAACTTATGAAAGCTCAATGTTTGAATTCGTGTAACTAACTAAAAAAATCAAGTACAGGATAAATATCTCACTTTAAATATAAAATATCTAAAATAAAATTAGGATAATTATTAAGTTTTAACATAATACTTAATTATTATTTTTATAAAAAATATTATATGCTAGAATGATACTCGTGCAATATAACGAGATACATCGAGATAATCTCTTGTTTTAATTTTTGTCTTTGTTGATATAATACGGTTTTATGTGATTTTGAGAAGACGATAATGTTTTTATTTTATTTGGAAAAAAATATCGATATTAATATCAAATTGACTTTTTAAAAATTCTCGTTTTTATGTAATTTATTTAATTCAAGATTTTCATCTTAATCTAATTAAGTTTAATAACAAAGTAATTTGTTTTTGGTTTAATAATATAATTTTTATAAGGATAATAATTAAGTATTATGTTATAAGTATAACTCAATAATTATCATGATTATATTTTAGATTTTTTATATTCAAAATTAGATGGTTATTCTGTAGTTAATTATGTTTATCTGCAGCTAATTACATGAATTCAAACATGGAGTTTTGGTAAGTTGTAACTACACACAATTTATTTGTAACTTCAAGAATTTTAAGTAAAATGCATTAATAAACAACATTTCATTAATAAATAATAGTTTTTAAGGGTTTTTGTCAAATGCTATATAATACTGAGTTCATTTCAGTATTCAATTTAAGTTGAGGGGGTGAGGTTGGCATTTGAACTCAAATGCAGGGGATTGAGATGTAAATATCAAATAAAAAGGAGTTAGGCCTTCACTCTTTTCTCATTTGGATCGACTAGAAAAATCTACGTGTGTGCGCTATCGCGAGACGTAAGAAGAGAGGAGAAGGATTTGAAGAAGGTCAAGCGGGGAAAGCTTAATTTCAGGTAAGAACATCATTCTTCTCTGTATTTCCTCTTCCCTATTGACGTTAATGTGGATGTTAGTGTACTAGATTAGTTGAACTGTTGATTTTTAGGGAAACTGGTTTTATTGGTATGTATGTTATGGGGAAATCGGTTATTGTTTGTGAGTCTCGTTATATAATCAACTTTTACGGTGTTTTGGAGTGGTTTTAACTCAAAAACTCCATAGATGTCTTTGATCCAATTCGTTTCGTTTGGTGATCCACAAATCTGGTCAAATATAATGGTTAAGGAACAATGTGGAGTATCGTATGTGCATGTTAATTGGAGCGATTTTGGATGAGGGGTTAAGTTTGCAGCTCTGCAGCTCGAACAAGAATGACCTTATTAATGACAGAGTATTATATTAAGGGGCCGTTTACCTAAATGCTAACTCGGTAAGTGCTTACTGATAGTATTCCACATTATAATTTATTTTGATATGTAAGATTTTAGTACATAAAAACATATCGAATACAACAAGTTACTGGGCAAGTACTTATCTGGGTAAGAGTCGTCATCCTTACTTACCGGGTAAGACTTGATTCTCGAGTAGATTTTTAACTTGTCAGGGAAAGAAGGTCAAACTATATTTGAATTTTACGTTTGTGAGGTTGCGTGTCGAAGATGAAGTATGGGCTAGAGATGGGCCTTCAAGTTAGTATGAGGGAACGAGAGGTCGGGAAATCATCGGAAGATGCCGGGGGGGGGGGGTTGATGGTGCTAATACATTATTTAATCAAATATAGGAAAATAAAAAAAGAGTAAACTGCAAGGTTTATATGGTTTGTGAAAAGTAACGCCTCTTGTCTCTATAGTTTTAAAATTACAAGATAACTATCAGTTTAAAAAACATTCGGGTTTGGACCCTCCCTCTAACGGTTTTAAACAATTCCGTTAAATGAACCATATTTTCGTTATCTTATCGATTTTTTTTTTTATCTTTTACACAATCAAAACCGATTTAATGATTTTGGTCCCCCAAAAAATAGATAAAAGAACAAAATTGTGACTCATTTAACGGAATTTTTTAAAGGTCATTATCGAGAGGGACCAAATCTGGACGTTTTTTTACAAATAACGATAGCCATCTTGTAATTTCAAAACTGTAAAGACGAAAAATGTCATCCTCAACAAACCATCGGGAGTAATATAATCTTAATTTAATGGATGAAAGTTAGTGAGAAGGATCAAAATGAGACAAAAATATGAACTACAGTGACAAATTAGGGGACCAAAAATAACAAAATCAAAAGAACAAAGGACCAAACAATGAAGTTTATTTTAATCGTGACGTGACTTCGTCGGCACGTGTAAATAAAACTGAGATCGAAAGACCAGACGAGCGACTCGAACAAGATAAAATCAAATTTCGCGATCTAGGGTTCTTGTCTGCAAGGAAAATGGTGAGTTCTTTCTTAATCTGTGGGTTTTAGTCACTTGATTTTGTGTGTAAATAGGTATATTCATATGCTTTATATCACAAATTTTGATGGTTAATACTCTATTATTGCAGGCTGACTCAACTCGACGAAGGTAAAACCCTAGATCCCAAACTTGGTTTTGTTCCATTTTTCGCCGATTCCTGCTTTTTGGCGTGCTTTTTGTTTCACAGGGTTTGCAATTTGTTTATTTCTGCTTTGATTATTGTTTTCATCATGTAGTTTGATGAAGAAAAGGGTTTTCTCGGGTGAAATTGTTGTTTAAGAAACAAAAATGGATAGTGTTGTGCATAGAAGGGAAGATACACGTTGTTTGGTTGGTCTTGCATCAAGTCCTGTATGGATATGAATATAGCTGACGACTATGTGATTAATCTGTCTGTATAGATTGAGAGGGTTTTTTCATAGATGGAACTTGGAAGGAACTTTTTTTTTTTTTTTTTAACTGGGAGAGACAGTTTTGGAAAAAACTTAGCTTTCTGCATAAAGCTCCGAAGCTTATGGAATAAGCTACTTTCTTTATCATTAAACTACTAACTAATAGTCATGTATAGCTGAATGAGTAAGTTGTGAGTCCCATTAAGCTAATTAAGCTGCTAACAGAGACAGGTATAATAGAAAGAGGGTTGGATACTGAGATCTGTGCAGCATGTTATTGTAGATGGATATGTTCTTATAGGGGGTTGTTACAGATTGAGAAAAAACTCACCATTTTCCTTGTAGACAAGAATCCTTAATTGCAAAATTTTGATTTTATCTTTGTTCGAGACTAGGGTTTGGTGCTTCTAAACTGCAAAACAAAACTTATTACGATGCAATAAGTCTTTGTTTTGCAATTTGTATGCCTTTATTTGTTAGTTGTTGGTGCATGATGAATAAGTATTCTAATAAATACATCTTCGTGTTTGTCCTTTTCATCACTTGTTAATTTAAGACACCGTCTTATTTTACATCATCAGAATGGTAATTCCTTATGTTATGTTCATTGAGGATAACTTTTGATAACCCTTATTGTGTTGGTTGGTTGTTTTATGGATTTGTTCGTAGATTTTATTGATAAACAAGTTACGAGCAGTTGCATGAATAGATAGGCTTCTTGTTGGTATATGGTAAAGTCGTAACAAATGATTAACGGGACAAAACAAGGTTATTGTGAATTCATGATTAATTAAAGTTGATTTCAGTTAAATCCTTCACCTTCTCATAAGTGTAGAGCCATTTTTTAATAGGTCAGGAGGTCATGGATTTAATTGAAATCTCATTAAGGTTATATACCTAAATGACTAGATTTTTAATAGGTCTGTTCAACTTCTTGTGTGATCTTGTTATATAGCATGTGACGTACTAATTTAACAAGCAAGCGCAAGACCAATATTCCAGTAGGTTATACTAAGTTTTATTTATAGAAGTATTAATTATAAAACTTAATCGATTACTCCCGCCGTCCCAAAATAAGTGTCCAAATTTATGACTTTAGTTTGTCGCAAAATAAGTGTCTACTTTAAAAAATCAAGTACCTACTTTTCCAATTCTACCCTTAATCATGAGATATAGAAAAATATTACCCCCTATGTTATTAAGGGTAAAATGACGTTTAGTTAATTAATAAGTGCACTAATTACACATTTCTAAACCTCTGCCTTTTTCATTGTGTTCATTTATTTTGGGATGAAGGGAGTAGATTTTTGTGAAAAAATATATATGGGCCGCACGTGCTTGTGCAAAGTTATTTTTGCATATCCTATGTTTACCCATAAATCTAAACAGGCAGGTCCGGACCCATCCATTTTTTTTTAGAATGACAAATCCAGTTTAGCGGGCCTTTTTCTCCCTGAACATCTCTGTCCTCGACCTATCCTTATGTCTGGATCATGAAGCCTAAATATTTGCAAGTTGAAACCGTCCTTTTGGGTACCTTTTGCTCCCGAATGTTGACTTTTAACCCCTCATCAATGTGTTCCCCACTGAATTTTGACCAGATGTAGATTGTCTAGGGCGATTAATACGCAAACCTAGTGTTTCCAAAGCTGCCTTCCACTACTCCTACCTCTCGTTGACCACAACCATTGACTTTGCTACCAGCACAATGTCGTATGTGAAAAGTGCGAATAACACACACCATAGGACATTCCCTTGGATCTCTTGGGAGATCTCATCCAAAATCACAGCAAATAAGAACGGGCTTAGTGCCGGGGAATAGTCCGTCTCACCACTGGTATCTCGACTCAAATCCTCGTTTGACCGTACAAGTCCTCTATTGCCCTCACATATCTCCAATGTACCCTCCTCTTCTCCGGTCTCTTTCAAATCACGTTTTGTGGTAAATAGACATGTCTTATTTATATTTATCACTTCTTCGTCCCAAAATAAGTGTCTATATTAAGATTTTAGTTTGTCCCAAGATAATTGTTCACTTTCAGAAGTAATATGTCTAGTTTTCTATTCTATCCTTAATTATGAGATGGAGAAAAAAAATCCTCTCTCTATAATTAAGGGTAAAATTGTCCTTTTGTTAATTAAAAAGTGTAATAATTACACATTCCTAAAACTGTGAGCCTTTTTCATTGTGGATATATTTATTATGAGAGGGAGGGAGTATATGGTAAAAAATACAATAAACAATGCTCTTGGGATAATCTAGTCAATTTAACATTTTGTCCCGTCTATTAAACACTATATAGGCAGCTAGTCCTTTCATGTCATGTCCAATCTGTTCCGTCATGCCCCGTCCATGTACCAATCACAGCTTAAATAGTTGTGGCTTTGTGAAATTATCATGCTTATGCGATGCAAATTATTGAACGTAAATGGCATTTCACACTTCTCGTTTAATGCCTACCTTATATGCTACTTTAATGTGTTCAGATATTCTGGCTCTCCTCCCTATGAAGCACCATCAAGGTCCAGATCTCGATCCAGATCGAGATCCTGGTCAAGGCCAAGAGGTAGGCCTGTATCTAGATCAAGATCAAGAAGTCGTGGCAGGTACGGTTTTAGCTTTGCCTTGGGATTCTCTGTCTTTTTTCTTATTAAGAATTTTGCTTCATTATGATGACGGATGCTTGTTTATGTTGCTGTGTATTTTTTTGAATCTTTGTAGGGATGAGGCTATAAATCCCGGAAACACACTTCATGTAACCGGCCTATCGACACGTGTTACACAGGAGCAGCTCGAAGAACATTTTTCAAAGGAGGGAAAGGTTAGCTTATTTCAAAGATTAAATGAGAAGTATATTAAAACTATAGGCCTATGACATATCGATACATAGAGGGAGGTTTAAGGGAGAGCCCTCCAAAAAAAGGTGAAAAAGGAACCACTATCAACCGTTGGATCTAAAAAATAGATGGTTCATATTCGAATGTAAGCGCCCCTATAATCGTGTATTTAGTTTGGCAAAATGTAACCGTCCTTTTGTTCAGAAAGTCTAACAAGATTGTTGGATTGACCATTTAAAAGTAAGTCGAGGAAATTTAAGTGGATTTCCTAAATTTGCTAAAACAAATTTCTTTCTTTCATTACTGGGTAAAAATCTACTGGAAATTGACTAAAATAGCCATATTGGACCTTCCAATTCACTTCATAGAGACCTTTTAAACCCATTGACGAATTTAACTTGAAATTATACACGTGGGCATTACGCAACTTGCGTAATCCACTTTTTGGATTAAAATAATGAGGAAAAATGGGAATTATGCAAGTTGTGTAAGTGATTATGGGGGGTCCACGTAGGCATTCGGCAAGTAGCAATTACGCAGCTTGCATAATTCCTCTTTTCTTCATTATTTTAATCCGAAAAGTGGATTACGCAAGTTGCATAATGCCACTTGCGTAATTTCCGTCTAAATCCGTCAACAAGTTCAAAGGGGGATATAAAGTGAATTGGAGTGTCCAAAATGGCAATTTTAGTCAATTTCCCAAAATCTACATTTTCTTCATCTTTATGATCTATTCCCAAAAATGAATGCATATCAATCTTTTGCTGAAGATGTCTTAGGGCCTGTTTGTTAACAGCTTAATGGGGCTCACAACTTATTTGTTCAGCTATACATGACTGTTTGGTAGTGGCTTAATGATATTGAAGTGGCTTATTAACTTCTAGGGGAGCTTTATGCAGAAAGCCAAGTTTTCTAACCTCCCCCTCCCAATTAAAAACACACTTTTATATACGAAACCCCTCCTCCCAATCTTTACAGACAGGTTAATCCACACAGTTAGCTTTATCCATACATGACTTGAATGGAAAACCAACCAAATAACCCCTTATATACTTACTTCAATGTCTAATGACAACTACTCTCTGTTTAGGTGTCTAACTGTTTTCTGGTGGTGGAGCCTCGTTCACGCATCTCCCGTGGCTTTGCTTTTATAACAATGGAAACCCTCGAGGATGCCAATCGCTGCATAAAGCACCTTAATCAGTCGGTTCTCGAACACCGCCAAATAACTGTGGAAAGAGTAAGTTGTCTCGGCTACAATTAGGAAAGACGCAATGTTTTTATGCTATCTTTCTTTATAACTTCAAGGTTTACCGGCGATATTTGCATCATTTATGTTGGCAGCATATCAAAGTTGATGAGTTCATCAATGCAACTCTTAAACAGCTTGTTCAATGGCTCAGCTAAAACAGCATCATTTCACATGTATCTGATCAACTAAACATAGCAAGCTTATTGCTCAACTATATATAACACCCTCGGCAGACATTCCAACTAATCAACGGTCATTATCAACAGCAAATATATTCAACTGTCAACTAATCGACGGTCATTATCAACAGCAATTATATTCAACTGTCAACTAATCGACGGTCATTATCAACANTATATTCAACTGTCAACTAATCGACGGTCATTATCAACAGCAATTATATTCAACTGTCAACTAATCGACGGTCATTATCAACATCTAACCAGGCTTTAATGGTATCGTTTACCCGAGACTTATGGGTATTAGCCACATGCATTTTCTTTATTTATTTTTTTATTTCTCACGTTCTCTTGAATCGTTTTTCCTCGTTGGTGTTATGGAGAGATTGGGTCTAGTTTCTCATTTTCCTTTTCTTGAACTATATAATATCTTATATATAGCAAAACTCTCACATGCTTTTCACCTTTGGTGATTTACCTCCTCCAGGGAGGTTGGGATCTAGGGAAATTGTCCAAAATAGCCAATCATGCCTTTTCTCCTCACTTTTATAGCCACTTTTTCAAGAAAGATCATAATAGCCGGAGATTAGGTTAGTTGCGCTTACGCAACTTATGTAACCCACTTTCTCTAATATTTTATTTAGGAAATTAGACATTAAGCAAGTTGCTAAGTTATTTTGTTTAATGTCTACGTGGCTTGTCTATACACATGCCACCTTAACATCCACAAGTAGCAGCACTTATGCATCTTGCTTAATGTCTAATATTTCTGATTATTTCATTTGAAAAAGGTGAGGTATGCAAGTTGCTTAATCGCTACCGCGTAATCTACGGCTATTTTGATCATAATGTTGGAAAGGTGGCTATAAAGTGAAGAGAGGAGGCCTGATTGGCTATTTTGGACAATTTCCTTGCATCTATTGGTAACCCTGATGCTTCTGGACCAATGACCCTTTGGTCTCATTTTCGTTATTCTTGTGGGTGGAGCTTCTGATGATCATTGGCTTTCTTTTCTTTTTCCTCCTCAAAATATGAATGTTGATGATGGTTATGTTGTTATATGATGTTTTAACCAAATTTTGCTTGTTGAAAGACGTGCTACTTGAGGTCATTTATTTGGTTTATTTCAGTCACGAAGGAAACGCCCCAGGACACCGACACCTGGCCATTACCTCGGCCTGAAAAACACTAGGGATACCGGTAACTTTTTTCCCTTTTCTTTTTTATAAAATTTATTACCTCCGAACCGGGATAAGCGTCCACTTCCAAAAGTAAGTGTCTACTTTCCAATTCCATCCTTAATTATGAGATGGAGAAATTCATTACTCCCTCTATATTAAGGGTACAACTGTCGTTTTGTTGATTAAAAAGCGTAATAATTACACGTCTAAAACCCTTTTTTTTCATCGTGGACGTTTATTTTGCGACGGATGGAGTACGTGCCATCTGGTGTTACATTGATGAAAAATTGTTGTTATGTTTAGGGTATCGTGGTGACAGAGGCAGGCCTCGTGGTGGCTCTAGCCGTGATGACTATGGATACCGGAGGCCTGCAAGGCGGTCGCCACCATATAGAGGTGGTCGTGATTACTCCCCAAGGAGGTCACCGCCACCATACAGAGGTGGCCGTGATTACTCTCCAAGGAGGTCACCACCACCATATAGAGGCGGTCGTGATTACTCTCCTAGGCGGTCACCGCCTGATTATGGTGGCAGATCAAGAAGGGAGAGGTCTCCTCCTCCATATTCGCCTTACAGGAGTCCAGAAAGGAACTACGGTCGCCGCTAGGTAAGTTCATTGGGTGGAAAATATGTTACTGTGTGAATTTTGGCAGATTTATAAGGTGGTGTGAACATTATATGTTTAACATCTATTCTATGGATTTAGTGGCTACTTGTTTAAGTTATCATGCAACATTAACTTGGATATTTCTTCATCTTTGGAGAATTCAAGATTATTGTGTTTTGTTAGTTTTAAAATGATATTGGACTTCTTTGGATGTATTGTTTTTTTTTTTTTTTTGAAGTATGTATATATGTATGTGCCTATATAGATATATAGGGTTGGGTTTATGTGAGACAAACCTGTTTTCATGAGATCATAATTTTACACTTGAAACTTTACAGCGAAATGTTGTGAAGGTTAAAGATTTCCGAACCTTCACAACAAATTTTACTGTAAAGTTTCAAGTGTAAAAAAGTGGTCTTATGGGTCTCACGAAAACAGACTGGTCTCACATGATCCCGAGTCTCTCTCTCTCTCCCTATATATATATATGGTTTGTTTCAAATACAACCCGTCGCATTTGTACAACCAATACAACCCAATAAATTGAGATATTTATGGAAATGATGTGAGTTCATTTATTATGAATTTGAATATTTATGAAAGATGAATATGATTCATTAATTATGATCAATACTTTAAATTAGGAAACAATCAAAATTTTTATGAAATCACATATTAATCAAATAAAATGGACGATTGAGATTGAGTTGTATTGGTTGCACAAATGTCAAGCCAATAAATTGAAATATTTATGGAAATGATGAGAGTTTATTTATTATGATTTAAATATTTATGCAAGATGAATACAGTTCATTAATTATGAATAATATTTTATATTATGAAACAATCAGAACTTTTATGAAATTACATATTCATCAAATTAAATGGACGGTTGAGATTGAATTGTATTGGTTGTACTAATACAAGGGGTCGTATAATAATCCACATCTTTCTCTCTCTCTCTCTTTCTATATATATATATATATATATATATATATATATAGGGGGAATGATTTACGTGATACCAGCCTGTTTTCATGAGACTTGTAAAATCGTCTTTTTCCACTTGAAACTTTAAAATAAAACAATGTAAAGGTAAAAAAACCGAAAATTCATAACAAAAATACTGTGAATATTATTTTCACAGTGTTTCCAAAAAAGTGATCTTACAAGTCTCACGAAAATAACCTTAGTTCACGTAAACTCAACTTTATCTATATATATAACATTACACGTTTTGACTATATTATGTAATTAAATAATAAATAGCGACGAAACATACCCACATTTAGTCACGTCGTATGTTATAATTTAATTTTTTAAAATTGAGTTTATATAATATTGTTAAAGACTTGATAAATATATTCACGTGGGACGCATTCTGTAGACTAAATATTTAAAAAGAAAGTCAATGGATACTGCGTATCTCGCTTATGATTATTTTATAAAATGCAATAATTATTTGATAATTATTTAAATTACTAAAATCATTTAATGTGGATCGTTGAGGAGATGTTTGTTGGTGATTATTATAAAACAAATAAAATTAATCATTAAATTTTACATTATATCAAATTTATCATTTTCTTGCCATATAATTGATTTTTCTGCTAAAATAAATTAAATTTTATGATTTTTATATCTATTTAATGTACAATTATA